TGTTATTGTTGTATTGTTGTAATTATAATTGTGTCCTATCTTGTGAAATCTTCTTATTTATTGTTGTAGTCTTCTTATTTATTGTTATTGTCATCCTGTAAAGAGCTTTGAGAAGCCACCTTTAAAGGCGCTATATAAAATAAAGTTTATTATTATATTATTATTAGCATAGAAACCATGAGAAACAAATATCTGTTTAAAATACTGCTTGTACAAAAAGGCCCATAAATTATAAATATTAAAGTTATTTTTTCTAATAATTATTGGTCTGACACTTTCACCCAAAGTAACCTACAATATATCTGTTCCCATTTATACAGCTGGGAAAAATGTGAATGAAGTATTTTACTCAAGAGTACAATAGCAATGCTCTACCAAGGATATAATTACAAGATTAAAGCCCCAGTCACTACTATGCACTGCTGCCACCCTAACTTATTAAAAAGATAGTTTCTGTAAAAAATGAGTTCATTATAGACAGCAGCTATTTGAAAGTCAACTGTAAAGGATTTAATTATTTCTGTTAAGTTAAATGAAGTTGTAGAGGATGTCAGTATATTTTAGGAGTATAATTAGCATCAACAAAGATGCTTATGTAAAGATGAAAGAGTAATTTTATTTATTTAGACAGTTATTTATATATACCCTCAGTATTTAGATATAAATAGAACACTAGCATTACATAGCTCTAAAGCCTGTTGAGCCTTAACAGCTTTTCAAATGAAGCTCTCCAACTCTAAAAATAAACCCCATTACTGAACGTGTTTTATTTCTAGCATCTGAAATGTGGCTTTAAATAATTTTTACCTTGGTTTGAAGCAGATGAAAAAGTCATGGTGGTGTTTGTTGAGGAGTTTAGACATACGTCCGGAACCTTTGGAAAATGAGCAGGTCCAATGGCAGGACTGAGAAACAGAGAAGGCAGGTGAGCGAGTATTGTCAGAATGCAGGAAAGCGGCAAGTGCTCATACATCTTCAGTAGCCACTAATATTAAAATCAATCACACTACTGTACATGCTGAAAAAACAGGGCCATAGAAATTAGAGCTCTATAGTAAAGAAAGCAATGGTATCTCAGAAAGTAAGTACTTTGGACCTGGAAAAAGAGTATTCTTATGTTGCAAAGAACCTAGACTTCCAGTAATGAAATGAAAGATATAATTTGGCACTTTAATATGACATTCTTTGACTATCAAATACACAATATTTGCTTCCCTATCCATTTTCTGGAACAGTACAAATTAATGATTATTTACTAACTAGCAGGAAGAGACTGACTCATGAAAAGTGGACTATAAATAAAATGTATTATATAATAATATAATAATATTATAATCGTATATCATATACTAACATTACATAATTAATATAGTATCATATAATATTGTTTATTATTTTTATTATTGTTGTTGTTGTTGTTGTTGTTTTAGTATGTAATGTTTTTTTTATGTACTCACCATTCTGAGAAAAGAGCACGGTTCTGCAGATGTAACTCCCCCTTGACATGCTGGTCCCAGTCCTGTAATTGTTCATGGACAGTTGACGTCAGTATGAAATTATCGAACGTTATGACAAGACTAACATGCAATAACCCCAGGGACAAAGTTCTGTAAATAAAGAAATACTTTATAAAATGCATCCTGTCAGAATCCACATTATTTGAAAGAAAATGACAGAATCCTTTGAGTTCAAATGCACTGTGTGTTCTTTCCAAAAGACCCTAGAAATTATAGCACTTTATTTTTGTTCCTTAAAACTTAAATCACATTTTTTTGCATAGTTCTTCTATGGTATTTATGCATTGTTGCACCAATAGCTATTTCCTTGGTGAATAACTGTTTTCATTAAGACGGCTCAGACCAAAATAAAAAACAACAACATTGGCCATAAGGAAGTGCAGCTAGGAAACAAGCAAGTGGGGCACAGGACTCTGAAGCCCCTAAAAACTGAGAAAAAGCTGCACAAGCTGTGATTACACTCACTCTCATGAGGAATCTTTTTCTCACGTTTACCCAGCAGGGAACGTTTCAGAAATAATAGTTTCTGCAGTAGTAGACCATTCAATAGGCCAAACAATGCAAGACCAACCAAATCTAACTGAATAATGAAGAGGAAAAATACAGTGATACTGCTGTCACTAAATTATGAAGACTAGAGAACATCTTTTATGTGCTGTTCTCCAGTGTTGTAAATTGAATAACCGCTGAGATGACGTGACCGTTTTGCTGGTGTAATAACCCGTTTTGCTGCTGCTACCAGCCACTTTCTTGTACTTGAATTTGTTTGTGATCCATTCATGATGGTGGGGATGAGGAATAGGGTTGATTCCTTATCTTCTGTTTCCCCAATTAAGAAAGAATTTGATTTTCCTGAACTAGCAAAAAGGGCTGTTTTTAAATGGAGATCAAGGCTAAGTTTCATTAGATTAGATAGAATTACACGCATTTTTCCATGGATACTGATAATCAGACTTAAACCTCTCACCCTTTGTATGCTTTGCTTTTTCTTAAGACTGACTAAGTTTCATAGTGTGGTTTTAAGTGTAGTTCTTGTTTCACAATACACATGGGGCACTGAGAAATTCAACAAGCTGATGTTGTCTATTATATATTCAGAATTGTTTGTTCAACTTGAAATAGTGGGATTCTCTATTTCTATTATTTGTCTCATTTTAAGGAAGATTCTCTACTTTGAATTTTTTGACAGTTGTTGTGGTGGAGACTTTGAATATTAGTTATTTGGAATGAAAGCTGGGGAGGGAATGTGGAATAAGGCTTAGGATATCAAGTCTAACACTTATTTTTTCTTAGCAGATGCTCTGTATGTTTTATTAATTACTGACATTATTTATTCCTGTTTGACAGCAGATGTGGTCTCCGATATCCATGACTAATGTTTCTATTTCATCCTAGAGTGCATGTGGGGTCATTTCTCCTTCTAAACCTGTTAGCTCTTAAAAACAGTTATGAAGGTAAAAAAGTAGGATGCCATCCATTTGAAACAAAAAGATATCATCAGGGATGCCCCCTTTAAGCCCTCTTGTTTGCCCCAAACTGGGTTCAACTACTGTAACTCAAGTTCTCATTCACCTATTTTCCATACTTACTGTACATTCCTTACAGGTAATCCCCCTATCTGTTTGCCACCTTGGAGAAATAAATCGATTCACATTTTATTTTATATTTTTAATTTAGATGGTGTTCACTGATTCTATGCCATGCAGTCCCAAGACAAGTTGACTGGACGGTTTTTTACAGTATTTCTCTATTTTGCTCTGCATGGCTATGGAACCTGTGGGGGATGTTGTCCATTCATTCAGTGTATAATCTGCTACATTTCAGAGGCAAATCAAAGGGATTGGTTTCCTCTACTTATGTTTATATTGCTCTACTCCAATGCTCAATCAAGCCTTAAGCAGCTGTCACTATATTCACAACAGGAATGTTGAGTGTAACAAAACTGACATTTCATAAAGCTCCTTTTGGGATAATTTAAATTTGGTTTCCAAAGTGATCCACTTAAATATTCCACAAAGAGTGTACTTGATCAAACATTATTGCAATGATTTGCTTATCTCTAGTCCAGTGTGTATAGCCTGTCCATAAGAGACTACAGGCACCTTTGTACTGTACAGGTTTGGTAAGTGCAGGAAATAGAGTATACAGTATATTGGCAACAGGTGTCTTTTTTGTGCAATTTGTTACAGTCAAGGACCTTCATCGGTCTCACCTAGTGTTTTTGATTAATTCTTACTCAAATTGGCCCATCACAGAGGCAAAAAGTAGTTCTGACAGGTCTGGCATCTGCTGTACAAAGATGATGGTGCTACAGTAGGTGACGCTAATTATTTAAATGGAGCTTTCTGCTGCTCAGATTCATTGTTCTAGGGCAAGATTTAACAGTGGTAGCCCTTATCAAACCTATACTTCATAATTCTCCTACCATAGCTGCTTGATTTAAATTTAGGCATTCTTTGGTAAGAAATTTGGAAATTTGGACCACTTGTAGTAGTCTATATTTTCAACATCCATTATGATTTACCTGAAAAATAAAACTAATAAAGCACTTTACAAACTGGCTGCTTAAGTGTACACCATTACTTCTGTATTATTAGGAGTTGAAATACTCTCTTGTGTGACTTTTATTTTAGGTTCACAACATTTTAAACAACCCTTGTATACAAGTATATTTTAATTTCCTTCATTCTATAAAAATAGAATCTGCAAAAAGGTGCTGGGAGATGTATCGAAACACAGGAAAAAAAGCAAACAGTGAGTTCCGCAGACAGGGATGCTGATTTCCAGCACACAAAGAAACCCACCTTCAGATTAAAGACCTTCTTGTCACAGATGGTGCAATGGTGTGGCATGTGCACTGGAGTCACTGCGTGGAAGTCATTGAGCTGGTGTGGCTGGAGGGGCACAGGACCACCCCTGAGTGTTTGCTCTCTTGGCTGAACTTGCTGGTATCCTACAAACCCCTGGGTACTACCGCTGAAAGGTGGCCCAGCGCCAGAGCAGTATTTGGAGTCTGTGGTTGGCTCTTCTGGGTTGTATAGCTCACCCCTTACGTGGAAAGGTTGGCTCGATGTGGCCCACGTGACCCCTTGGGTAGGGGCCCCCTCCATCTTAGACATGGCACCCTGTTGTTGCCACTGTTCTTTGTGGTTGACTGGTGGAAAGGCACTTGGATTCGGCTCTCCTGCAAAACAAAACTGTTTTCCCTGTTGTCCCTCTGGTCCCTGAGGGCTTGATCCATAAAAGTCCCTCTGAAACCCACTTTGGTTTCCCATCTTTGACTGGGCACTGGAAAGCGGTAAAAACCCATTTCCTCCTTTGTCTGATATGTTGGGACCCCCACTTAAGATGCTATACTGGCTGCGCCTGTCAGTGTCTGAGGGGTACACTGTATGGGCTGACAGGTTGATTTTATTTCCATATTCTGAAGTAAGCTGGTTGGGTGTTTGAGACACGCCACCAGTATAGGGATTCAGTCCAATGGCGGTGTGATTTTGGTTCTGGAGAGCTCCTCCACAGCCCAGATCTCCCCCAACCAGGGGCCCCAGAGCAGTGTTCTGTGGAGGAAAGGGCAGCCCACTGGAGGGAAACCTGGAGGCCAACATCCCTGAGCCCAGATGGGCCCCACCAGCGTGACTCTGAGGAGTGCTGACCATGGGCGAAGTCAACTGGTTAAAGAAGGGCTGAGACATCGCCACTTTGGAAAGAACCTGGTTCAGAACGGTGGCAGCTGCTGCCGTGTTGCTGCTCACGGCTGTCTGGGCCAGCTTCAGCCTGTGCAGAGTGAGTTGGGCCTGGAGCTGCGCAAGCTGCAGACTGGCCGGGGTTAAGAGCAAAGGATTCTGGCCTCCCCCAGAAAGCTGACTGCCAGTAGGGAAGGGCTTCTTTTCCTGATGCTCCGACGAAGAGGTGCTGCGAAAAGGCAAACGAAAACAAAAGAGTTCAGCCGTCATAAAAACCTTCCCAGACTACTTCCATCTCACTGCGCCCAAAGTTATTTGCTTCCCTTTTTTAACTACGATGCCCTTTCCATATTCTGATGGACACCCTCACATGGTTGCTAAATTTAGGATCAGCTACTATTAATCAAAACATCTGTGAAATTCTGCCGTCACTCATCCTGCCCCCTATCCCTTACGAGAGTGGAGGAAGCTATGAAACCAATCAAATTAGAAGTGGCAGCAACACAAGAGAAAGTTGTTATTTGTCTTGGACAACACGGATATTTTTACCTTTTAACCTTTATTTTTACCAGGGATGCTCAAATCTAAGTGACTGTATGTAATGTTATAATTAAGACTACCTTTGCAAGAGAGGAATTCAAGAGCATAAAACTACCTGCAACAGTCTACAGACTTACAGAAACAGAAACCTCTTGATACACTATGCTGTATTAAGTGAAAATATATTCCTGAAAACTTCTAATAGTATGGATTAATTTCACAATAGCTTTTCCTAAACAATAGATGACAGTTTAAAATCACGGCATGTCAATTGTGACAGTGAACTGAAATGAAGAACTGTAGACATCTCATCCACAAGAAGGTGAACACAAGAACTGTACAAGAGAACCAACTAGGTGCCTCTGTTATTTTTTTTCTTGTAGATTTTGTGTCGTCACAGTCCCTCTTATTGCTTGGAACACATGAAAACATGGAAAGAAAGACCATGAATATTAGCAAATTAAAAGCCACAAATCCCCGATTTATCATCTGGAGCTCACACACAGGTCACAACAATAATAATAACGTCCACACTAATACTAATTGCATTTGTACAGTGCTTCATATGCCAAACAACACTGCTACAACATGAAAGAGAATATGGTCAAGATGGTAGGGAATTTAGTAGGGAGATGGCAGGGAATAACTTAGAATGTTTTTACTCATTTGTAGTGCTCTATTTCTTTAAATGATGTTTAAAACATTGCTAAAGAAGAAGACTTTATATGCAGCAACCATAAAATCACAAACTGTAGACCTCTGCTTGTTAATCTCTGTACACAGAGCTTTGAAAATAAACACACAAATATGTATGAAGCCTGGGATGATCTTATCTAAAGGTATGACTCTGATCTAAAAATATTCTGGCCTGACACAGCTTCTGATAGACAAATATGGGTTCCAAAGTAGACTGCTCTAACTTAGACCAATGTAATACTGTACAGTAACTCTCACGATATATCTAGATTTGGGAGAACCAGACACTAATTCCTTCCTATAGATCCTACTGTGTAGATAGGCTATGTGTTGAACATACCCAGTATAATGGTATGCACTATATTTTTGCATAGGTCTTCAGCCTGCAAATCAGAGAGGACTGTGTGCACAAATATAAATGAAAAACTATTTTGCTAGGTCCTTGGATTTCCTAGTAAGAATATTAGTCTTGTACGTTGTTATCCTGAAACTAGGCGTGTGGGAAGATGGAATAAGCTATCGGACCACGATATTGCAACCAACACCATGGTTTCTTTCAAGAAACAGCTGCATGAGACCCTTGCATCCATTAACTATTAACTACCAAAAAGTCCAGAAAAGCTGAATGGCCTCCTCTCATTCTTACCGTCCTTGTGTTCTTAAGAGCGGAACAGGTAATCCTTGATACACTAAACAAAAGAGTCCACGGTGACGTGCCAGATGCTTGGGAGCTAGCAGCGTTGTCATCAAGACTTCTATCTCTCCTCAACTGGGATGTTGATTTTGTTATGGGGACTAGTGGGCTCATAATGTAAATCACAGGGAAAAATGCACATACTGTATGTTCTTCGATCCTCTCCTTCTGTTAAGTGTGTTGTGGCAGTAAAACCAAGTTGATAAACAACTGGCAATTCCAAAGTTCAGGGGATATAAAAATAAAAATATTTTTAAAAAACTCTAGAATTATTTTGAACATCATGTTTGATACATAAACCATACAGCCAAAAACAAACATTACATTACAGATCAGCAGTGGAGTAGGGATTTCTTTTCAACTGATAGTAGCAGGGATCTTTGACAATGTAAGAATACTATATCTGTTTTTCTTAAAGCAGAACAAACATTTAGTATTGTTTCTCTAGAAGATCATGCTCTCATTCAGTAGAATCTGCTGTGGAAGACTAAAGACTTAACACCTAACCCACTAAAGGAAAACTGAATGCTTGGTCACATTAAGACATTGAGGTCTTATTTACCAGTAGCTGGATAAGGTGTAATGTTATCGCATATGTAAATTTTGTCACGGTAACATTAGAACCTAAAATTGAAATATCAGATGGGTAGCAGGGAACTGGAAAAGACACATGGGAGAGATCCAGGAGGGTGTATAGTATTGTCACTTTCTTTAACTAGACAACATGGAGAGGTAATAAAACAGGCAACAAATATTATGGTTGGCTATATTGTTAAGAGTGTAGAATTAAACTAAAATGGCAAATTGAATCAAAATTCAAAGATATTGCTGCTCTAGAGGCTATAAAAATAAGAGCAACCACACTTAGTCCTGGCCTCAAGAGAATGTTAGACAGCCCAATGTCCTCTATTTACCATCTAGATCAGTGACAAATACTGCATGAGGAAGTTTCAGTGGTTCTAATTCAGTCCCTGTTTTGTCCTGTCTTTTTACATTTTTGTTTCCATTTGAAAACACCATGTTAAATTCCTGTTGCTTTAAGTATGAGGACTGCTCTTTTATGTGGTACTTACCGAAAAGCTTTCTGAAAGCCCAGATATACTGTGTTAAATGGCCTGATCTTATCCACTTCTCTTATTAGTTGCTCAAAGAAAGTGGATTAATTAAGCACATCTAAATCAGAGGTAGAATTATCTTCTGCCTATACAATCGTTTCAATCCCTTGGATTTTCTAGCCAGAAGGCACATTCCCTGCCTTGAGAGTTACCTGAAATATAATACTAAGTAGTTTTTGATTACTTTCCTTTTTTTTTAAACAAAAGAGTAAGCACTGTCTGGGCCAAGTAATTTCTTTACTATTTTACTAGTTCCCCTGGTTGCTTTAAACACCTCTATCTGATTTTCTGAGATTATTTGGAATTAAGTGGAGCTGTCTCTTTACCTGTAGCAATTCCTCCCTTGTCAACACGTATGCTATCATTCAAAACTTCCACGTTTCTCTGCTCGTCTTCTGTAATAGACCAACTAGAAACTCCAGGAACTTTTAATCTCAAAGACTTTATTTCTTCCTTTAATGATCTTCTTCCCTTACAAACTGCAGTAAAATTGAAAAGGCACTTGGCATTTATTTTGGCTCTCATTACTAGAATTTTCTCCCTCTTGACTTTTCTGATATCTTTCTTGAATTTGAGCTCATTGTACTTTCTGTTATACTGTATACTTTAGTCCCTTGAATAGCATTATTTTCCTCATTAATGATAATGTTAACCATTCTGACCAACATGTTTTATACTGTCCTTTTTAACTTTGGATATAATTTGTTCTTATTCTTCCAGTATCACATTTCTCAACTTTACACACTCATTTTCTATTAATTTCCTAATCTGTCCTAATCTTTCTTACTATATCTGCCTCACTTGAATAGATCAGATCAGTGCATACACGTGATTAGCTCTCTGACAAGATTGATAGGCAATCAGCCATTTACCACATCAACATCTTTATTCTCAGCATTTGTTCTCTCAGTTGGGCTATCTGAGTCTAAGTGAGGAACATTAATCTCCCAATAACTCAATCTCATCCTTGCATCATGCAGATCTGATTGCACTGCGTACTAAAGCATTACAATTACTATTTGGGTTGGGTGGTCTGTATCGTAGCCCAGTTACTAAATCTCTATACTATTTTAGATTCCTCTGCTTCTATACTGTTTCTGAATGAAAATCCTACCCCACCATGAAATACTATGTAAGTCTTCCACCTCCTAGTTAATATACAGAACACCCAGTAATTGTAAATTCATCCCCACAACTCTAAGTAAATCAGTTTAAACCCCTAAAATATCATATTTGCTGGTGAGTACTAATGCATCTACTGTACAATGCAAGTCCAATATTTTGTTTCTAGTGCTCCTGGCATTTAGATATTGGAATCTAAGGACTTTGCTGCTTGTTCTTGTATGAATACTCCCTTCATCAGCTTAACTTTCATTTTTCAGTCTGCATTGGTGTTTTCCCAATTTGACTGATGTTTTTTTCACACACAGTCATATCTTCCCTTTTTACTGAAGTGCTTCCATGGTCCCTAGTTTAAATAATTTGTGATTACTATACACATACAATTGTCCAATGCATTTGGCTCCTGCCAATTCAGTTGCACACTATCCAGTTGGTACAGGTCCAGTATTCCAATAGGAAGTCCATTTCCATACCTATTCTATAACAGGATTTCAATCAAAATGCAAAATTCAAAATTTCAGACATTTATTTATAAGTCAATCAGTCGTGATGGAATAACAAATTCTAAAACACTGCATAATAGTTTATTTAAGAAAACTTTCTGTCCATGGGCATTCTATCTCAAAGTTAACATTTCTTATGTAATGAATATAAAGAAACTATCTATCGAATTCTGTTTTGTTAGTGATAAATCTGAATTTCCTGGACTTGCACATGGTGAAAGTAACATAAGAGAAATCTAGTTCTGTTTCTTGGTTTTGGAACTCACTCTTCAAATGTATCTTGCAGACCCATGGGCTCTATCCCTTAAAAAACACTTTTAAACCACTGCAGTGAGCTGAGGCCTGACCATGTACATAATACTGTAGGTGCAAGCAAGGACTGACCCTGGATGGGAAGTGAGAGCATCACAGGGCACACACACATACTCTCACACAAGTACATGGGAGACCATTTCAAGATGCCAGTTCAGCCAGTATGTCTTTGGACTGTAGGTTGAAACTGGAGTGGAGCACCTTCAATGCAAGCTCCGCACAGAAGGTATCCCAGACTGTTATCAAA